ATGGGAGATTGAGACTTAATCCATCCGTTTGGTTTCCTGTGATGGTTCATAAATCGCCTCCACAACTGCTTTTATGCCTAATGGAACATCAGGGTAAGGCTCACACCGTCCATATAATATCCAAACCGTTGATATCCAGTAGAGAGCTAAAAATTAATGAAGTCATTAATGAGATTTGATGTCGAAAATTCAATATAAAATTGCTACAAAAGTCATAAAATCAATCAATTATCGAATCAATAAGAGGAATGCAGTTAATGTTGATTGTTCTCTTACTTGTTGTAATGTCACTGCACTCGGTTGATAGTTTGTACAAATACCTTCCGGCCAATGAGCATGACCATTCAAGCAACGCTGTTTGACACAGTAATCTGGTTCCTCTACATACTCTTTTTGCACTTTTCGTAAATATGCATGAAAAAACATGTTTGATCAGATTTTCTGCATCGTATGGCTAAATCAATAATTGAATGTCAATACAGAATTAATGTTATCAAGTAACAACTCAAAAAAAAAGACATCTATTTACCTCTAAGGGCATGCAGTAATCGCACATGCCATGTATAGAATGCTTACAGCTAAACACGAAAAACTAAAAAAGCAGCAATGAATACATGTCGCCTCTACTAAAAATCGACGCGCACACAATTCACGCGTACAATTTCGGATTACGTCTTCGTTTAATAAAGCCTCCAGATTGTTTCTCTAGATAAACATCCAGAGCTTCTTGCTTTACATTCAATGCTGATGATGAACTGGTATTCGTTGTTGACTCAAATGGTCCTACTGTTGATGCTGGCTGGTTGTTTACCAGCGAAAACTGCTGAAGTGCCTGGTTTCACTCCGTCTTCAAAAGTTATGTATATAAGATTACCATTAAAAAGTAGTTCGAGAGACTAACAAAAATCTGACAAATCATAAGGAATATTTTCTATGCGTACTTTATTCCTAACTGAGTAATGCTATGCTTTGTCTGGAAAAATATTTCGCTTGTACACTATTTTGCGGGTCTTTTGATATTTTAAGTGTGGACGGATCAAAATTGAGTTGGATTGCAATCTTGATAGAAAAGACATTTGTTTAGTTTAAAAAAATAAAGTTCATATTTATAGATTCATGACTTAAAACAAAGATTCTCACTTTTTCTGCTAACGTTATAATGTCATTTGGATCTACCTCAAAGCGACTCGTTCCCTCTTTAGATCGAATGCGTACAATCTTGAGTTTCAAATAGAAAACAGCAAATCAGCAAAAAGACTATTATTATACAAGTCCTTAAATGTTTTGAAATTACCATATTGTATAGTCTTAGTTGGAAGAAAAATATAGTTGCAACAAATATCTTAGGTTTTACGAATAGAAATTCGGCATATGTAAAAAAATGCATGTTTAACGTAATAATTTTCTATGTAATCAAATCGTCTAATACACAGCAACGTTGAACCCTACTCTGGTTACACTCGTAAGTGTTGTGGTTAGCAATTTAAAAAAAAAATAGTTTCCCTCTTTCTAACCTGCCATAAATTATTCCAGACCTTATCTCCTACTTGAAGGAGCACACAGAGTGGTCATACACTGAATTTTTAGATCTTAACCGAAGTACCGTTCTTTCCTCACAACCTCTTTAAGACAAATGGAATGTTCTTAATATCACATGGGCTCGCAGATTTTTAACGGAAGCAAAGGAAGCAAAAGAACATGATTTTACAGCTTTGCAGGAGAAGGTCATGTATTGTATATTTCGCAATAATAGGGAGTTTCTGTCTATTCTCATTTAGATTAGAAGTATTGGTTCTTGTCCCAGCCCGAGTAATAATAGTGGCAACTCCACCTATTCTCATCTAGGTTAGGAGGTACTGGCTCTCATTCCGGCCCTACTATTGCGATTAACATTTTCTTTTTTTGAGATTAAATTTTTTACTTGTGATATGGAGATTATGTACTCATTTTTGCTTTCATATTTCTGTCAGGTAAAAAATCAATGTGCAAACAAAATTTACAGGAGTACTGGGAAGGAATAATATATGAACGGGAAAAGGTTTTGATGCTACTTACTTTTATGTGTTATCCTTTTATGCACTATCATACTATAATGACCAAAATCTTGCAAAACAGACGAAAGCAAACGAGCACATTACATCGGAAGCATGAGCGTATACTGCGAGGTTGCCAAATACAATTCTCAAGAAATAATCGACGATATTGCCAAAAATCCGTTTTCGGTATCCAACGAGACTAAGGTCACAAAGTCAGCTTGTAAGTGGAATAGTGACGAAGGAACACCATCAATATCGCCAACCAAACGGGTGAGATTATAAGACTTTTCAAATTATTTCTTGATAGCAAATAACTTATTAACATATATTCTGTGTGATCTTCCAGACGAAATTAAATGAAGATACAACTCCAGATATTATATCTGGTTTAAATGAGGTTAGAGACAAGAAAAAGTTATTGGACAGTTTTTGTCTTTTTTCAAACATCTTTGTCAAAAGTTAATTGATTATTTCTTAGAGTGCGAGTTTTGATTGTGGACTCAGAAATTACGAAGAAGGAATAGTAATTGATTCTGAGCTGGCTCTTCAAGAAACAGATGAGGAATCAGTATCAACATCTGCGCGCCTCTTTGACGAGGATACTTGGAAGAAATGGAAACTAAAATCTGGTGCGGTTGTTGCTGATCTTTTGGCTCAATCTGCTCATAAAAAAGGACATCCTCTCAGGTAGATTATGGTTATCAATTAGTGTTTGTAACTGTGCCAATACTAATTATTTAATGTTAGACCCGAAGTCTGGAGAATCGTTCGGTGTGGTTTTAAAATCGCGAAACCGGGATGGTGTAGCAGTGAAAATTATTCGGAGATTCAAAAGTATACAAAGACGTGCAACTATTTCTAATCGTCTAGAAACCATATCTAAGCTTCTAAAACTAGTATGTCTTCCTTTTTATGCTAGTTCTCCATTTTACTTTTGAAGAATTCTAAAATTACACTTTTGCAATAGAAATCACTTGAATCCTTAGGACAAGGCTTAGAGGAAATTCGGCTTTTGAATAATATTAAAGAAGATATTAGAAAGCTTCTCTTGGAGGAGCTCAAAATAACCTGCGTGATGTTTCCTCTTCAAGACCCTTTCACAAATTTTTTTATCAAAATTTTGTTTATATTGTAAGTATCATTGTTATGACTTGCCAATTTTTCATCCGCTAAACTTTTTCCTTCTTATAGTCACCAGGATGTCTTCCCAGAATATTCAGTGATGCAACAATCAGACGTATCGGAATCGGACCACAGAGGTTATGTTATTCATCCTTCCCTGAAAAGTGTGCTTTTCGGTTTGGAAAAAAGCTTGCATTATCATATGTGAGTA